AAACCAGGTACCCGCTCCCCCCCTCAAAAAGATGCCAAAAATGGCAGTGAAGGGGGGGGGGGAGGTAAACAAGCGGAGATTCTACTTTTGGGTGGACCTCTGCTTTAAGGCAGCTGGACAGGAGTGTGCACATGCCGTGGCAAGAATTACACCCCCTGTCATGTTCAGCGGGCAGTACTCCCCTTGTAAACACAGCCAATTCAAGTGAAGGGGGCTGTGCTGCAACCCCCTTGCAACTATGTGCAATGCATGAAATTGCAGAATGGTGGTGCAGGATTGTTTAAGATAAAACAGGTAGTGAGGAAGTGACATATTGCCTTCCAGTCACCTGTCAAACACCCTTTGAAAAGCAATCCACCATGGATCATTCTTCAGAGGGCAACACTAATGTAAAGAAGACCTGCCTCTAGCTAAAAGTAGTGCAACATTCTACTATTCCCTGTAATTAGAAATAATAATTAGATAATCATGCATTACATTATATTTGTCAACTGTCCTGGATTTGCTGGGACAGTCACTCTTTTTACTAAGCTGTCCCAGGAAGGCCCAGGCAGCAAAATTCTACTATTACCTGTAATTAGAAATAATAATTAGATAATCTTGCTTTACATTATACTTGTCAACTGTCCCAGATTTGCTGGGGCAGTCACTCTTTTTACTAAGCGGTCCCAGGATGGCCCAGGCAGCATCCCAGAACCTGGAATGTGCCCTCCAGATCCCAGTATTGTACCATCTTGACCACTCCCCTGTACTGTGCCCTTCTGCCTCACCCTACCCCCCCATACTGTGCCCTTTGTGTTGATTAGTCCTTGATCTATGGCATGTTTTCTTATTGTTTAACCAGTTCCGCACCGCCCTATAGCAGAAATACTGCTACAGGGTGGCACCGGTGCGCAAAATCATGTATATATTCTTGATTTTGCAGTTCCAGGTAGGGGGTGCGTGCCCTACCCATGCCACATTTGTTGGCCTCGGCTGTCAATCCCCGGGTCCCGGCCGGTGATTACTTGCCAGCACCCAGTGATCACCGAGTATCTCTGATGAGGGAGGGACCTGTGTATAAACAAGATCTCTCCCCTGTCATCTCCTGCACACTGGTTTGTATGGCTCCTGCACCCTGGTTTGTATGGCACAGCCTAGGTAGAAATGTTATCCCCTGCCAGCATGCTGTAGAGAAGGCCCTGGTTCTCTGTATGGAAGCATTGGTCTCTCTGCAGAGGTCCAACATGCCGCTTACTTATTCAAAATCAGAGCTGCCAAATCTGGAGAAAACATGAACTTTGCTCATTGGAGAGCTATAGGTCTGACTCAGCAGGGAGTGCGCTGGACCTCTGCAGAGAGACCACTGCTTCTCTACAGAGAGCAAGGGTCTTTCTCTACAGCCTGTAGGAAGTTGTCAGGCTTTTCTACTCTGTGAGTAGGCGGTGGCTTCTTTTTAATGAAAAGTAACTGTCAAAGTTAGTTTTGAGGCACATTGAATGTATTTAGGTGTCCTGACTGTTAGAAGGGTTAGTATCATACAAATCAGTAAACGTTTGTGTCTTTTTCTGAAAGAAAAGAGTTTCTAGGGGCACTTCAGAAACAGATGGTTATTAGATGGTTATTAGTAAGGTACAAGATCGTACTTGGTGGAGTCACAGTTACAACCATAATTTCACCAAGTCATAATTTAACCTGTTTTTACAAGAATGATGAAAGCACTTTTTATGGGGATTATGTCTTTGTGAGAATTTTAGGCTGTGTAGACGTTATTTGCTGACACATTGTGAGGGGTGGATCAATCAGTTGGCGAGATCAATGCACCTGGTCATTACACAGTATAATAAGGCCTTTAAACGTTCTTTCTCCTGGTTCCTAGGTAGGAGGTCTGGACTGGCAGGTGACACAACCTCCTGGCACTGGGTGCTAGACTTATTGCAGCCATATAATCAGAGCAATCAAAGTATTCGATCACAGAGCATAAAGACACAGTAAAGCCATTCTCAAGCAATGGGAACAGCAGCCAGAAATTGTAAAGTCACTTTTATACAGAGTGACTGGGATTGCAGGTCACATCACAGGGTTGTGCAATTTGTTGCAATATACTGTATACCTGGGTATATCATTGTTTATAGAGAGTATAATACATACAACAGGGATGTCTTAATAGCATCATGGGCCCCTGGGCAAAGTAATGCACTGGGGCCCCTACCAGCCTGCCGTAATTTAATAAATGGAGAAAAAAAAACAAACAGAGGGCGCACTGGCCTAGTGCATTACCTTTAAAAAGGTATTTAATAAATGATAAAAGTAGATATTGTACTCACAAAACGACAATAGAGTCAAAGGCTCATCACAAAAGAACAACTCTGTCCAATCCGCACTACGTGTCTGTCAGCAATGGGGACAGTGGACTTCCAACAGGCTGACGCGTTTTGAGGACTTGTCTCTTCCTCAGGCTCTGAGGAAGAGGCAAGTCCTCGAAACGCTGTTTCATTAGCCTGTTGGAAGTACACAATGGACTTCCAACATCTAACGCGTTTCAAGGACTTGCCTCTTCATCAAGCTCTGAGGAAGAGGCAAGTGCTCGAAACGCGTTAGCATGTTGGAAGTCCACAGCCCCCATTGCTGACAGACACGTAGTGCGGATTGGACAGAGTTGTTCTTTTGTGATGTGCCTTTGACTCTATTGTCGTTTTGTGAGTACAATACCTACTTTTATCATTTATTAAATACGTTTTTTAAGGTAATGCACTAGGCTGTTGCGCCCCCTGTTTGGTTTTTTTCTCTATTCAGTACATTTGGACTTCCCTGGTCTTTTGAGGGCAGCAAGGCGTGCATATTCCAGGACATTTGTGATGTGGTCCTAATCTATACTGAGTCCATCCCTAAGCGCAGGAGTATTTGGGTTTGCTGTTTCTTTGCCCCAATTTACCAACTAACGTACCAAGTACACATAGTTGATAGAATTAAACATATATTTATTAGCACTTTCAATTAAAGTGATTTTAACCACTTGCCCTCCAGAGGATTTCCCTCCCTTCCTGACTAGGCCATTTTTTGCAATACGGCGCTGCATTACTTTAACTGACAATTGCATGGTCATGCAACGCTGCACCCAAATGAAATGTATGTCCTTTTTCCCCACAAATAGAGCTTTCTTTTGGTGGTATTTGATTACCTGAGCGGTTTTTAATTTTTTGCGCTGTAAATAAAAAAAACACAGGCAATTTTGAGAATAAAACAATATTTTTTACTTTTTGCTATTAAAAAAGTCCAGTAAAAAAATTTAAAAAATCAAATTTCATCATAAGTTTAGGCCAAAATGTATTCTGCTACATGTCTTTGCTAAAAAAAATCCCAATACGTGTAAATTAATTGGTTTACATGAAAGTTGTACTATTTACAAATGGTGGTATATATACTTTTTATATATATATATATATATTTTTTTTTTTTTGGCGGCGATCAACAACTTATAGCGGGGCTGCAGCGGGCATTCTGTCACGGGGGGAAACTTACTTCTTGTCACTGACATCCCCAGTGACACCAACACAGTGATCAATGCTAATAAAAAGCACTGACACTCTACTAATGGCACTGGGCCGGAAGGGGTTAACATCTGGGGCGATCAAAGGGTTAACTGTGTGCTCTTTCACAGTATGCTGTGTGTGTTCTTTACTGTAAGCACACTGCTTTGTATGGCTCTGCTATGCAGAGCCATACAAACGAGTGTGCGGGAGATGACAGGGGAGAGATCTGTATTGTTTATACTCAGGTCTCTCCCCAATTGGAGATACTCGGCGATCACTGGGTGCTGGTGAGTAATCACCGGCTGGGACCCGGTGATTGACAGCCAAGGCCACAAACAGCGGCATGGGTAGGGCACGCACCCCCTACCTGGAACTGCAAAATCACGTATATATATATATATATATACACATATATATATGTGTGTGATTTTGCTCAACCGTGCCACCCTGTAGCAGTATTTCTGCTATAGGGTGGTGCGGAACTGGTTACACAATAAGAAAACATGCTATAGATCAAGGACTAATCAACACAAAGGGCACAGTATGGGGGGGAAGGGGGGGGCAGAAGGGCACAGTATAGGGGGGGGGTCAGCATTGTACAATACTGGGATCTGGAGGGCACATCCCAGGTTTTGGGATGCTGCCTGAGCCATCCTGGGACCGCTTAGTAAAAAGAGTGACTGTCCCAGCAAATCCGGGACAGTTGACAAATATAATGTAATGCAAGATTATCCTGGGACTCCCAGGCACTTGGGGCTCCTGGGCAGTGCCCATGCATTAAGACAGCCCTTACATACAATGCTACATACATGAAATGCTTGAGTGAATGCTAAGTTTGGTGGAACCCAGAAGTAAGCTGTAATTGTCCAGCCAATCAGCTGCAGAAGGGAGATTCCCCACCCTATATCTGCACTTACAAGGGGTGGGGATGCCTGTGACATCATTAACCTAACATGACCTCATAAATTATATTGACCTAGTATGGCCATGAGGCCGTGTTAGATCAATGATGTCATTAGCTTCTCTGTCCATTTTTTTTGTATGTGCAGGTTGTATGTGGGAAATTGGGCTGGCACTAGTAGCTGCTTCTAAGTTCAGGCCAAACCCAATCTCATCTATAACCACCATTAGGCATTGCCTCTGCCTTGTAATCTTCCTACTTTGCTCCGATGAGATCTTCTATTCTCTCTCTTTCATTATGGAGCCCCTCTGACCCTGTACAGGTAGGTTAATGGGCATTGTATTCTGATAGTTATTTCCATTTCCCAACTTATTAATTTGACAGAAGTCAATCTAATGATCCACTCCTGTTGAACAGGGATGGCCACACACTGATCGATATTCATACGGTTCAGCTGGGATCCGCCTATGACCAGCTTTTTTCAAAGGTCTTCTCCAAAAGCTAATAAGAACAGCAGAGTGTACATTTATGTATAAAATCAAGGTCTGTGTCCCTCATATAGTATTTTCTCCCCTTTTTTCCTACAGTGCACCAACAATGGGACGCAGTGCAGCTATCGTAATTTTACAAGTGGTGTTCATGCTATAAAAGAATGGTACCTGCTTCAGTTTTCCAACATCTTTTCCCAAATACCAGAAGATGAAAAGATTAAAATGGGATACCAGGCAGAGGACATGATTCTCACCTGCATGTTTGGAGGACATGCGTGCAGTTACAGGTACGAAATGTGAGGGAGCCAAGAAAATACTGGTTGGGTAACACTAGTAAAGTTATTCAATTCGAGAGATCACCCCATTTGGGAGGGAGGAAGATTGGATGAGTTGGGTAAATTACAGGGCTTTGAAGGCTGCTCCTCTAGAGGTGTTCTTTATATACACCAGCTATACAAGGATAATCAGCTAAAATCCTTTACGGATTTACAGGAGGAATTTAATATCCCTACTTGTAGATTTTTTCAGTATCTTCAGTTACGTCATGCACCAACTGTTCAAGGCAGGTTGACAGTCCTTTTGCTGATTCAACCCCACTCATTGATCATTCAGCTTCTACTACTACTACGTAGACATGTGCAAAATGAAAAAAATAGTTTTGTTTCATTTTGATTCATTATTTAACTAATCAAAATTTTGAACGGATTTCAAAATAATTCAAACAAATTTGAAAACAATTCTAATGGATTTGATAATAATTCTAAGGTTACAATATATAGTCCACAGTCCATATGTGTTTATGATGGTATATGGGCTATACAAGGACGGACTGACAACTCATGGGGCCCCCGGACAATAGGGGATCATGGGGCCCCAGTGTCCTTGCCCAAACTCAAAAATGCCTATCAAAAAGGTACCAGGGGCATCTCATGGGGCCCCCTACTGACCCTGGGCCCTGGGCAGTGCCCGAGTTTCCAAACGTTCAGTCCGCCCCTGGGGCTAAATGAAGAGTTGCATGACCATATTGGAAATTTCTATTTCAACCAAAATTTCTTTGTTGATCAATACTTACGACACCATAGTGCAGCTCAAAATGTTTTGTAAAATATTTTAGTCTTTTCTAATCTATTATTTTCTATTCTATTCTAATGTATTCTGTTTGAATTCAAATCCATTCTATTCAAAATTTGAATTACAGAAGGCAGTTATATTGTTTCTATTTTATTCTACTCTATTGTTTTTCTATACTATTCTATTCTATGATTATCTCTTCTAATCTTTTCTACTCTTTCTATTCTATTCTTTGATTTTCTATTCTAATATATTCTACTCTAATCAATTCTATTCTATTCCTTTATTTTCTGTTTCTATTTTGCTCTGTTTTACTTTATTATTTTCTATTCAATTCTTTGATTTTATATTCTAATCTTTTCTATTCTATTCTAATTGATTCTATGCTTTTCTTATTCCTTTATTTTCTATTCTATTTTGTTCTGTTTTACACTATTATTTTCTACTGTATTCTGTTCTATTCTTTTATTTTCTGTTCTGTTTTATTTATTTATTTACTGCCACTGTACTGTATTCTGTTCTATTCTTTTATTTTCTGTTCTGTTTTATTTATTTATTTACTGCCACTGTGAGCAGAGAGTGGTGACTGTCAGTCACCGCTTTCTGCTCTCCCCCCCCCCCCCCTTCCCGTGCTCAGTGAAGCGCTGGGCTGTGGAGGGGGAACAAGCAGCTGGTTCAGGTTATCAGCTGATAGGCTGAGCCTGGTCCCACTCCAGACTTTGGGGTGGATCACAACTCAGGGTCTCTCCCCAGCATGGACTGGATGAGTGACATCAGCTGACAGTGGGCTTCAGGTCATAGGAGTGCAGAATGAACTGCACTCCTATGACCCACAGGAGAAGTACAGCCAAAAGAGCTTTGGCCGTACTTCTCCTTTAGGAAAAAGGGGTGTCAATGGGCAAAGTATAGACATTGCAATATTACATGTAGTGACAAATTCTCTTTTTTAAATTCTGACAGCAGGCAAATCAAGGTTCTGTAGAAGTGTTTTGTTTTTTTTTTTTGTGGAAACCTAGGACTTACCCGGTGTGACTGAAACGTTGATGAAAATTCTCAGACTGAGTGTATAGTTGAAACTGGTTTTCTCTAGATTTTTATTACCACTTTAGATAGAGAATCTGTTTTAAAAATGTAAATATGACTTATTTACTTTGAAGGTGGAATACACCCACACTACATTGAATGTTAAATATTGTATGGTTCCATACAAATCATGTTTATTGCAGAAACCTTCATTGTTTTTACTGCAGCAGTTTAAAGCTTATCCAAACCTACTAACACAACTAAACTCAAGATGGGTATAGGGAATGAAAGGCAAAAGTGGTAAAAACTTGTAGTAGGAAATAGAAAAATAAAAATCATTGCTCTCTTTTTTCAGAAATTTCACCCATATTTTCCACCAAGATTATGGAAATTGTTACATCTTTAACTGGGGTCAAGAAGGTCAGGAGCTGCTGGAATCTGCAAACCCGGGAGCTGATTTTGGTATGACTTTGCTGTGAACGTCAGTGTATTAACCAATACATTATCAGGCTGAGATGAAAGAAAAATGTAGCCATGACACCCTGGGAAAGACGTGCAGCTGGCATAGATCTTAATGCCACCCAAAGTTCCCACAGCTCTAGAAGAACCTCAGTACATCAAGTGCCTCATTGGGAATGGGGTTAAGGTGGTACCCACATGGAAGAAAAAAATATTTGAAATATATTTAAAAAATATTCTTCCCAAATATATTGACATATACTATTTGAAATACTACAATTTGGGCCGTATTCAATATATTTCAAAATATATTTAAAAAAACATATACATATATACTGCATGTTGAAATGCATTTTTATTACAAAATATATGACACATTTTTTTAAAAAATACATTTCAAATGTACCGTCTGTCTTTAAAAATGCAAATCTACATTTTTGGAATGCATTTAAAAATATATGTAAAAATATATGTTAAAAATTACTTTTTAAAGGTTAAAAAAAATTTGAAGAATATATTTTAAAAATAAATTTTTTCATATATGTTTACGTATATTTTTAAATGCATTCCAAAAATGTAGATTTGTATTTTTAAAGACATAAAGTATAATTGAAATGTATTTTTAAAAATAGTTTTTATATATTTTGTAATAAAAACGCTATATATATATATATATATATATATATATATATATATATATATATTGAAATATATTGAATATGGCCAAAATTGTAGTATTTCAAATATATTTTTCTTCCATATGGGTAGCTACAGTAATCAGCATCATAACCTTCACTCCAATGTGGCTCACTCCCAGCTGTATATAAAGTACCAGACTGAGACCACTCTATCCCTTTTTTTTACATTTTGGATAGAATAGGGAAGAGTCCCCCTCTTCATTAGTCCTGGAGATCATTGTTACTGGGACTGAAAGTGAGGGAAATTTAAAAAAAATGTAAGTTATCACCAGAACAATAATAGAGGAGACACCTTTCAGCAGGGACATTTATTTTGGTGATGGAGAGGATTTCTCACACTATGGGAAATTTCCCCTTGCTTCATGTTGTAGCGGACAGACAGCAAAGGATAGTCTTCTCAATGAGAAACGTAGCAAAAAAAAAGGAGAAAACCTGGCAGGTGTTTCAACTCTTCCCTGCTCTATCCAATACTAAAAAACTTTGGTTTTATATATATTTTATTTATTTCTTTAAGTCTATCTGTTGAAGCCCAACTGAACACTTTCTTTTTATTCCTGAATTGCAGTCAGGTTGCATTTCCAGTATAAATATGGGCCTCTTTTACATGTTTTAACTGCTAAGGGATGCAGCAAAGGTTCATATACCCTGGGCTGGCAGCACATTGAAGAGTTGGACTAGGGTCCTCTCACACAAGGCAGTGGCCCGGTGCTCCACCAACCCAACATGCCACTACACTGCTCCAATAAACAGAGCTCTCACTCCCAGGATAGCATGATTGATTGAAGTGGTGTTTTGGGGAGGTGGTGTTGGACTGCTGAAGAGCCAGGCTGCCTCCTCGATTGTGAAAACAGAGGTCCGACTCTCCTGTGTGGTGCCAGCACAGGGTTTTTTTAAACCCTCGATGTATCACTTCGTCAAGAAAAAAAGTAAGAGTTCCATATTTAATATTGCATATGCAGCCTGAGTGCATTACACATTAGATTTTAATAATCCCAGTCTTGCTGGGATGGGTAATAATGGAGCTGAAATACCTTACTACGGGTTCCTCCATCTGACCTCCAAATCACTACTTTAGTGGTGACGTGGAGGTCGGAAGGCGGAACCAGTGAGAACTGCGGAGGACCAAAGAGATTGACAATCCCAGAAGTGTCATTTTTTCAGCGGCCTTCATGGGACGAATTCATAAAATTGCTTGGTGGCATGGGTAGTGGAAGAAGTATTTAATTACTAATCATTCTGGTTATCTGTTTCTACATTTACACTTACCCACTTGAGCTCCAGAAGGTTTTACCCTCCTTCATGACCAGGCCATTTTTTCCTATTTAGCACTGCGCTACTTTAACTTGAAATTGCACGGTCATGCAACACTGTACCCAAATTAAATTTTTATCATTTGTTTTCATACAAATAGAAAATTCTTTTTGTGGTATTTGATCACTGGGCTTTTAATTTTCTATGTGATATAAATGAAAAAAGAACAAAAATTCTGAAAAAAACAATATTTTTTCTTTTCTACTATAAAACATATCCAATTAAAAAAGAAACGAATTTCTTCATAAATTTTGGCCAAAATTTTGCTACATGTCTTTGGTAGAAATTTTTTTTTTTAGGGCAATCATGGGGTTAATTGTGTGTCCAGCAATGTATAATGTGTGTATTATGTGCTGCTTTTACTAAGACATCTCTTTGTTTTTCATCCCAATGAAGCAGTCAGTGACGTACCAGTACGTTGCTTTGCCTGCATGGGCCGCCTGTCTGCAGTACATTGCGGATGGATGGTTCAGAAGTGGATAATATATTGGAAAATAAACAGTTTATTCAGCATATAAAACACTAGGTGTATAGAACCAGGTAGCTACAAGGATGTGTTCTACAAAAGGCGGCACTAAAGAGGAAGCATATAATTGACACCCTGCCCCATGCTTAGATTTGTTCTAAATTAACCAAAACTGTACTGATTAACCCTTTCGCGGCCAGGTCCGTAAGGTGGAAGCGATCGGATGGCTATGCTGCCGCCCGATTGCTTCCACAGCTCCCAGTAGCGTCCCCCACGTGTGCTGCCATCATGTATTCCAGGCTCCGTTTTCCCATCTGCGGGCCCCATGCTGACATGGTGCTGGCGGGTGGGTCCACGTCTTGCTGTGACCCGGAAAGCGGCATGTATTATGTCACTTTCGGGTCACCGCTGTCACTTTTCCATAGAATAGCCAAAGGGAAATATATTGTAATACAATCTGCATTGTAATATATCCAGTGGAGCTCCGAGGAGACATGTTTCTCAATAAAGAGAACCTGTCACCTAAAAATCATCACATAGGGGACTTTGTGTCTCCTATGTGATGAAAAAAAAAAGTTAAGCAAAAACATTTGTTTTTTGCAAAAAAAATAAAGTTACACCCAAGCACATAACATCCTCCCCCCAAAAATATTGAGTTCCCTCACCCCTACAGATATGCACATATGAACATACACACACGCATCGTGGGTACCTATGCGTGAAAACGTCAATTGTGATACACATGTTACATATCATTGTACATACCAAGTTAAGAGCAATATTTCTAACACAAGACCTCCTCCGTAACACTAAACTGATGACCTGTAGGGGTCTTTGAAGTGTCGCTTAAAGAAAACATAGGTTACTGAAGTTTGTCGCCATTTCACAGGCGAACGCAAATTTAAAGTTTGACATGTTGGGTATCTATTTGCTTGGTGCAACCTCATCTTTTATATTTTACCAAAAATGTGGGTAATGTATTGCGTTTGTTTGCCCTAAAATTCATTTTAATGTATTTTGTTACTGAAATTTTGCATTTGCTAGACCTTTGCAGTATTATCATGTTACATACAAAATTGGAACTACCACTATTTTATTCTTTAGGGTGTCTGCTTACAGAAAATATATAATGTTTGGGGGTTTTGTGTAATCTTCAGGCCTAGACATGTGTGCAAAAATGCAAAACCAGCTCTGGCAGTGAAAGGGTTAAACATATTTTAGCCTTATAGTTATGTTTATTTCCCTATAATAAATGATGATGGAATCATTGATAATACCAATAAGGCAAGGCAGCTAAACACTTGGGTGTCACCTCTGAATCGGAAAGATCACCACGTGCTTGATACTTACATATAAATTGTTGTGTTATCCAGAAGATGACTCATAAAGATAGTAATTCACTGGTAAAAAATTACAGACCTATGAAAATGTACTATGTAAGCTACACAAGAAGATAGAAGACTTCACATGATTGCGGAATCAGTTAGGAAAAAGGGAGTTTTATGTTTTGGATTTTTTTTAAACTAATGGACTCGTTGGGGAAGAGAGTCAAAGGGTGGGGGGAGAAATAGGAGTTTAGTTTGAAGAAAGCTGCTGTTGAAGCGTTTCCTTCCCTTGCTTCCTGATGAAAAGGTTGTTCTTGGGACAGAAAGTGAAGAAAAAGTATGTAAAACAGAGCCCAGGATAGCTGTAAAAACCTAAACTATCATAAAAAAAAAAAAAAGTTCTCAGACTATCCAAAACGAAAAAAATTGGCTGTAAATACACTTTGATACACTAGACCAGGGGTCAGCAACCAGTAGATCTTGACTAGATAACTGGTGGATCATGGTCAGGGCTTGCTGACCCGCGATCCCAGAGCATCAAGTGGAGTGCAATGCAGAGGAACTACTTGTAAAGTTGGAGCTGTAGTAGGGAGCAAGAGCCACATAAGCTGATACCTCATCTGTAGTACTGGCTCCTATGCCCTGTCATGGTTGGTGGGTGTAGCACCTGCCAAACATGACCCATTCAAGTGAATGAGGCCACTCTGCAAGTGCCTTGAAACCATGTGCAATACAGCAAACAAGGGGTAAACAGGCAGTGGTGTGTTGCTTTCTCACCACCTGCTTTAACCCCTTGGACCCCACAGAAGCATGCAGTTGCAGAGTGACCCTATTTACTTGAATGAGTCTCGACTGACAGGCGGTAGCACCTACCAAAAGTAACAGGGGGTGTAATTCCTGCTGCGCCATGTGTACTCCTTTGACTGCTCCCTCAGAAGCTAAAGGGGGTAGGGATTGGGAGTGGGAAAACCACGACTCAACCACCCCCCAACTTTACATGTGAATGAGCCCTAAGCGTGCTATTGCCAGATGCAACTAAGGGCTCATTCACAAGTACAGTGGACACTGCTGCTCCTCTGCAAAGCAATCCGAGTGTGTTTTACAGGTGGTGAGGAGGTGGTATGTTGTCTCCTCAACACCTGATTTAAACCCATGATTGCCGTGTAAAGTATGTGATTGGGACACAATAGTACTGCCATTAGA